AGGCCACGCCCCTCCGGCCACGCCCCCCGTGCGACAGTCTGCCCACAACCAGCATGGCGGCGGCGGCTACGCGCGGGTGGGCGGGCGGCGGCCGCCTCTGTAGCCCCGGCGGGAGTTCTGCGGTGCCCGGCACAGGCACCAGATACCTGATCTGATCGAACGGGTCTTTTTGTCTGGATTTTCTGACAGCGTGTGATACACCGCAGCTAACTTTCTGTTAGTTTGTGGTTTTCACGACTCAAGATCTTTGAAAATACTTGCCACCAAGTGAAACAAATCCTCTTCCTCTCTTTTTTCCTCCAACCTTTGTCTTCCTGGGAGCCTCCCAGATGGCTGCAGGTGTCTGGGTGTGGTCGCTTCCACCACCTGCCTGCTCACTGGCATTTTCTGTGTTCAGCATACTGAGTGGTAGCACAGTAAAGGGGTTCCCCGGGGTCCAAAGCAGAGTAAAATCTGTCGATAGCACCAGGCCGCAGCGAGCGTCAGGTGGCCACTGTTGTGGAGGGCCTGGCCGCCCAACCGCGGAATGTAAGCTGTCTCCGAAGGGTCTGCCTGAGGTGTCCTCCCACACACCCAATGTCTGTCCTCAAGACTGGCACAACTACTGTTTTCCATCAGTCATCTACTGTTGTCCCATGTTAATGTTAGCAACAGCAGTATCATCTGAATCTTACACAACCGAGGATCACAATATCACTGTTTCACGATGCTGTTAAGCTGGTTTGAAAGTGAAATGTTCAGCATGGTATTTAAACACTGAGGAACTTCCTTTTAATTCTCTAATTCCCATAAACTCTGCACTACAGTTGTATAATTTTGTTTTCCAAGATAACTGCAAGATTTGACATTTTTGCTGCAACTGAGGTTATGTTCTCTTTTGTGTCCCTCCCTCAAAATGCCACTTACTTGCTAATTTTCCCCAACCAGAAAGGTTGGTTAATGATCTTGCCAGAAATTCAGAATGTAAAATGATGGAAAATCAGAACTGATACACAGTTTATGCCCACAAAGTGAGGAGAATCTGTAGCTTAAGCTGGCAAATTCTTAAGAACAATGAAGCGATCATGGACCAGGACACATACTAGTTTCATGTTCTTGGGCAACACCTAAGACGTTGCCGAGTAATCTGATTGCAACTTTAACAAATACTGCCACTGGAAGCCAGGCTAAAACTGCAGCCTGCCTCTCTACTAGCAGATTAAACATGGTGCTGAGTTCAACTGATGTGGGATAACCAACTCCAGTTACCCTTCAAAACAAGGTGTCCACGTCCAAATTGCCTATGCTCATGCTAATTCTCAGACTGCAAAGTGTGCTCTTTGATCTGGGCCAGACCTCTGCTATGAGACCATTTGAACGGTTTAACAGGATAGAAAAACAAGTTTCACTCTCCAGGGCTGCTCTGTAGTTTTCCAGGAAAAAAACATGCTGTGGATATATTTTTATATGTTTAATTTTTTTATATTTAACCCAAAGCAAATTTATATCTTTACATATTTAAAGCAACTGTAATCCAAAGCAACTTTCTTTGAATAGCCAGTGCTCATAAATGCATAGTTTCTCCCCTTCTCCACTTGGATGCTACACAAGTTGCTCAGGAGTAGGAGTGAATCCAAAATCCACCTAGTAGTTGCAAGAAGGCAGAGCTTTTGCTTTTGTCTGACCAGTCTCTTAATATCCAAGAGATCTTAATGAGACTGGCAGTGCAGCGTCCAGGGCAAGTCAAGGAGTAAGATAAGAGCTTGCACGTTTGCTTTGAGTGCTGTACCCGCCCTGGACTGGAGGGGGAGAAGTGCAACAATGCTGAGGAACGTTCCGCAGAAACAGGCAATGTTTTCAATTTGCATTTATTTTCAATTAGTGTTTAGGGTTTGTCACATAAGTAATTCCACACTTCTAGAAACCGTGGTGTGCACTTTGCTGTCCATCACCGTTTCTTCTATTGAACGGTGTCCTGCTGATTTTTTACAGGTCAGTAGTTATGTCTGCAGCTGCCTTTTCTTGTTTGTTTCACTGCTAGTTTCTTTTTCTCTGATGCTGAGCAATGATCCCCTAATTGTCTGAAATTAGGTGAAGACCTAACCTGTTTCCTTTTCAATTATTATTTCAATTAACCATTAACACTAACATCATTGCAAAGAGTCATATGATCACTTCAACAGAAAATAAGAAGCAAAATTAACTATATTACTAGACGTCTTGCATCTTGCAATGCAAAATCTTACATGGGCTTTGTCAGCCCTTTTACACAAAAATCCTTTTCTTGGGAAAAGAAAACAAAGATGTGAAAAGATACTATCTTAGGGGAAAACTCCCAAAACCACAATTCAAACAATCTCATAACCCAAACTTTCTTACTATTTATTGAAACCTATAGACAGTTTCAGTAGTATTTTGGTTACTTTTTCCCGTGTATATTTTCATCAATTCCACAGTAACATTACCGGTAGGAACTGATTTTTAAAATATTTTTTTAGCAGAATCATTGATGTTGCAACAACCCACCTCACAAAAGTTTTATAACAACATCCATATGGTCAGCTGTCGAACTGTCCACATCATCCCATCCAAACATAGTCCAATCCATCATACTCCAACCTGTTCTGCTACCTAATTAACAAAAAACAAAGTCCTTGTTCGCACTGAAGGTATATCATTGCACAGTTTCTACTCCCACTTTTGTTGTACCAACTAGCAGAGTGCCCAGTGCTAATCCATTGGAGCCTAGTTCTTCTCTACTTGTATGATTACCACTGCTAATAGGAGTGTAAACATGGTGATGCCAATATCTAGTCTCTCTTTCAAGCTGCCCCATCATGTCTGGGATGTTTGTATCTCTATGGACGGCAGGGATTATTATAAAATGTCCTTTCTCTGCTCCCAGTTCCTTTTCAGCTCTCAGTGTTAATTTACCAATCTTACTTATTGCATGGTATCATCAGGCTGACTGAATTCTTGTGTAACTCAGTATATATATATATATATATATATATATATATATATATAATCTTCATAACTTGTTTCATGATGTTTTCACCTCTTAAAATAGTCTTCTTGATTTTTTTTAAATGTTTGTTTATTCAAAATACTTATTTATAGATTTCTCCGTCATTTAACTCAATTCCTTTACCCATCTGGCTTTTTCAGAAGTCTTGACAGTTTTACGCTATTCTTGTAGTGTATTTGTGTCATTACTAGCCCAGCTTCTCTTTGTATGTTTGTTTGGCAGTTCTCTGCTCTGTGCTTTTTATTATTTTTAAATATTTGCCACCCAGGTTATAGTGAGAATTTTTTTCGGACCATGATGCACAGATACCTCTGTAAGTACTGTAAATAGCAGGATAAATGTTCTGAGCTGGCCTTTAAATTCCTGTAGGCTCTGAAGTGAGTAAAGTGTGAATCATGCAGTGAGGAGAGGTTCAGGGGGCTATTTTAGTCCGAATACACTCTCAGTCTCTCAGTGTTAATTTATTTAAGTGGGCAGTGATGAAGGTCACAAACTTTGTGACACTCTCTGGCTCCACTTGTATGGGGCTTTCAGATCCTGGATTTATTCCCTCAGTCTCCTGTCCAAGACTCTATTACACAAACAGGAAATCTAGATACATTTTCACAATCTTCTTAGATTTATCCTGACAGGTAGGTCAGTCATCCACCTCTGCCTCTCCCTGCATGCATCTTCTTCAGTTTGTTTAGGCTGCTGTAACAAATATGCTCACTGCATCCTTGTTCTGTTATATATCAGATTTTTGATCCCTTAGCATCATTTTTTCAGGCTACATATCAAGGAAGAATCTGCCCTGTTCCTGTGGTAGACTTTGCCAGAAGGATGCCACTCTCACACTCTGTTACAAGATATTCCATGTGCTTTATATAATTTTGCCTGCATGCTGGGGTTTGAGGGCGTTTTTGACCTGTGGGATTTTTTTTCTCTCTTGTTAGTCTTCCTCCTGATAACTTTTGAGCATTCAATCAATGTTAGAGAGAGGGCTTCAAGCATCAAAGATAAGAAGTACTCACAAATTTGAGAAATTAGAGCCTGAGTAAAGGAAAGAGAGAGAGATTCACATTTTTACCATGAGAAAGAAAAACAGAACTCAGACTGTCTTGTGTGTGGAGCAGCATCAGCAACAAGCCAATTAACACAAACATCCTGGTTGATCAGCGTAAATATAACTTGAGCTCAGCCACTGCTCCATTGTCTCCACAAACAAACAGGGGAAGGTTTGAAATATTGAGCATCAGGACAAGAAAGTAGAATTCATTTGTAGACTTAATGTATTCTGCTGCACAAGGATCTCCTCCTTCTTTTTCCTAGTATGTCTATCATATTTAAATTGTGAGCTTCTGAAACACACAAAGGTTTTTCAGTCTATCTGTTTTCTTTTCTTGGAAATTATTACCAGTAAAGTAATTTACAAGAAGAATATGCTTTTGTTATATATAACATTTAAGATTTGCTGCATATCTAATACTCTCTTGAGACCAATAGAATTTCTACCTGTATGGTAGTAAAGAATAAGGTCCTTTCTTATCAAGTAATCTGTAGGTAATCAAAAGATTTCTTTAACGCCAAAAGTATTGCTGTCCAACATACAAAATAGACATAGCTATGTGTCTAGGATTTTTATCTTTTTAAAAATCATATAAATAATTAATACTCAGGATTGAAAATAATGCAAAAAAAAAAAAAAGTTTAAAATATTTTTGTACAAGGAGAATCTCTTATTGTCTGAAAATTTTAAAATATTATTCTGTCTCCATTAAAAGAAACCCACTGTAGTTTAAGGATTTTCTTCAGCCTTTTCGATGTTTATTTAGGTCTATTGAATAATACAGACTTGGCCAGGCAGATCTCCTATTTTAAGCCTATGACCTGATCGTGAAAAAATGTCCTGTTCAGTACTGACACACACCGAGTTTTCAAATACCCAGT